TTCACCATAAGATTGCCTGTACATTTCTTAGTCTTCTCACAAAATTTGACGCGAATCGAACGTAATCAGCGGTAAGGAGCGCGATGTAAAGACGGAACCGTTCCGTTCCGTCCCGGCACAGTCTACAATTCAGGCGGCGCGTAGCGGTCGGCGCCGGCTGCCGAGTCGCCGCGTCGCCGCGGCGACAGGATGTTCACTTTACACCGCTATTACTAGAACAGTTGTGAACCGATTTTCTTATTGCTTGCACGATGAGATGTGCAATTCAATTCTGGAAGGTAGCCATAAGTAATTTCGCATCAATATTATGAGATATTGGCGAAAAACAGGAGGGGTGGGGCGAAATTCACTCTTCCCCCTCCAATGCGCGTGCTAACATACGTTTACATATGTGCCATTTTCTTCAAAACTTATGAATGGCCCACTCTAATTTTTTCACAGGTTGTTAAGAATATGGTAGGCAATAAAATATATGAAAATGAGCCAAATCGAAGGTGGCGTGTTTTTTGCTATTTCAATTTTTGTGCTTAAGAACAGAGTTAAGCAAATTTCAAGGTCATATATTTAAGTCGATGCAATTCTAAACAAATTCTTAAGAAATTACCTAAACAGTAAGGTTTATTTCATTCAAATCAAACAAGTACAACCAAAGTTATGGTCGTTCAAAAATATAAAGATGCAACATTTTGTAAAAATTTGATGCCCTATATTTAGAAGACCTGTGGTCAGAATGTGCAAAAAACATCAATGTAATGTCCGGGGCGACACAGGAACTCGCTCACAAATTTATAATGAAATCGCTGATGGTAAGGTGCAAAACAGCCGATTTTTGTTCGATTTGACGTGGAATGCCCCATAGGTATTGCTGGTATGCCGAAAGTGTTTGACTCTAAACTGTAACGGCAGTCATTCATGAAGATCTTACGTCAGTTTTCTCGTTTGATTCCATAACTGCTGAAATACTTGCACGTGGTGAATGTCCGAGCATCTAATGTGACATCCTACGGAATTTTCAGTATACCCTGGAGAGTTTTGTGGAGAAGCGCGAGACAAAGTGGAAGTTTGAGCCGTTCTCGGGAAATGGTCTTCCGGCCGGCGGGGGCCCGGCGCCTCAGCCGTGGGAGATTCCGCTCACACCGGGGGCGCTGTTCAAGGTGGGATCACTACTGGTCGGGCTACCCAACACAGCGGCGCAGCTAGAGCTGTTTTATTGCTTGGCCGCCCTTATCACTCTTATTAGTTTATGTGCTTATACAAGGGCGCAAAGATAATTTTTGAAAGCTATGCATTTCTCGCACTGGTATGATTTCAAAGAGGCAACAAAAGTTTCGTTAACTTTCAAAGAAAGCTAATTCTTGCTTGTTTTTACAAAACGTAGTCGCAAGCCCCGATCAATCAATAGGTAAATGAACCCCATCCAAGTTGCCGCGGATCGTGTTCTTCCAGGCCCCATACTAAGTCGGGACTACTATGAACGTCAAACCCCTTGGGACCCCACTTTTTTCCGATAATTTTTAAATGCGTCAACTTTCGTTGACAATATTCTGGCAATGTATGTTTCAGAACCTGCCGAAACTTTTATTACTAAGGTATTTTGACGCCAAACGATTATGGAAGGTACTTCTCATTCACTCGTAATGCTAAGGTCAATTCAGGCCCGGGCAGAGGCTTGCGCTCGGCCACACTCGAGCCCCGCCACCAGCGCCATCTGCTCTAAATGCCATCTACCAGCGCCCGCTACCGCTACCAGCTACCGCCCACCATCAAGCCTGAATGGAGCGATAGACGCGAGTGACCGGTCGCCGGGCAAGGAGCGCCGGAGGGGTAGGGCGGAGCTTAGCGCTGACGTCATTGCGTGGCTCCGCCCCATGAGCGCGTAGCCTCTACCCAAACAGCAGATTCGTTCCGTGAAATTTAACATTACGAGTGAATGAGAAGTACCTTTCATAATCGTTTGGCGTCAAAATACCTTAGTAATAAAAGTTTCGGCAGGTTCTAAAACACACATTGCCAGAATATTGTCAACGAGAGTTGACGCATTTAAAAATTATCGCAAAAAAGTGGGGTCTCAAGGGGTTTGACGTCCATAGTAGTATCGAGTTCCGCATTTGCCGTGCGATAACGTTCACTCTGACTGTGGGGCCTGTGTTTCAGGACGAGAAAAAGGTGCTACAGGTGCCGAACACTCAGACGCTGAGGCCCTGTCACGACTGCCAGGCTCACGGGGATGTGCGCTGCAAGCACTGCGCCGGCAGGGGGCAGGTCAGATTACCACACGATCACCACTCACCACATGGGTCACCAAACACTGCCGTCAGAGGGCAGGTCAGATTACCACATGGGTTACCTCACGGGTCATGAAACACTGCCGACAGGGGCAGCTCGGTCACTGCTCGGGTTACCGTTGGGACAACTGGATTATGAGCTCTCCGGACAAATATTTCGGAAAACGTCTGAACTCGACAGCACTCAGGTAGTCAATCAAAGAGTCTTGCTATGATCCGCCCCCATGTAAACTGGGATGGACTCAGCCCCGGCGATTCACAGGGGTGCCTGCCCAGACAAATGTCTGCCCCTAATTACTGTCATCCTTCCGGCTCTGAAATGATCTCGTCAGACCAAAAGGGCCTACCCCCCTCCCCCCCCAAGTGTCAACGCCACCAGAGCTGACCTGTAACACCATCCACCGCCAACGCTCCCAGGACCGGTGAGCAGTGAAACTGGTGTGACCCCATCGTCTGTATACCCCATACCTGGCCTGGCCGGCCTGCCCGCCTGTGTGCCTCAGAAACCTGATCTTTAGTCCCATCCTTGTGCACGCTTCTAAGAACCGATGACCTTGCTTGGGCCTTAAGCGTACCCCAGACCTAACCTGTGCTGACGCCCCTGCACCCCTCCCCAGGACCGGTGCGGCCAGTGCGGCGGCAGCGGACAGCGGCTGGGTGACGTCTGCAGCCGCTGCGGCGGCGTCGGCACCAACAAGTGCACCTGGTGCGTCGGCAACGGCATGGTCACCTGCACCACCTGCAAGGGCAAGCGCAACCTCAAGTACTTCGTCGAGATGACCGTCACCTGGTGAGCGCGCGCACACTCACCGCGAAAGAGAAAGAAAGAAAGGAAAGAGAAGAAAAGAAGGAGAAAGGAGAGAAAGAAAGAGAAAGGCAAAGATAAGGGATAGAAGACGCTGGACAATTGATCTGCGGTCCGGAACTGGCGGTGTTCTGTGGCGAACGAAGACGTGTAGGTGGGTTAGGTACGGTAACCAGTCAATGTAGCAACAAACTGTGAAAAAAGTTCACTTACGGACGTGTTCACGAAACAAAGTACAATCTCCCCTCCCCTCACTCCCCCCCCCCGTCCCACCCCCAGGAAGGTGCACGCCGACCGGTACGTGGTGGAGACTCCGGCCGGCCTGCCCGACTCGGAGGTCACAGCCGTCAGTGGGGAGACCGTCTGCCAGGCCAAGGCGCACCTGGTCTGGCCACTGACCGGCTTCCCCGACAGCCGGATCGTGACGGCCTCCGAGCACCTGGTCAGAAAACACCACACCGGGTGGCCGATGGGACGCATTCTGCAACAGGTATGGTACGGGGACATTCTCTGACAGGTATGGTGGGGGGACATTCTGTGACGGGTATGGTGGGGGGACATTCTCTGACGGGTATGGTGGGGGGACATTCTCTGACGGGTATGGTGGGGGGACATTCTCTGACGGGTATGGTGGGGGGACATTCTCTGACGGGTATGGTGGGGGGACATTCTCTGACGGGTATGGTGGGGGGACATTCTCTGACGGGTATGGTGGGGGGACATTCTCTGACGGGTATGGTGGGGGGACATTCTCTGACGGGTATGGTGGGGGGACATTCTCTGACGGGTATGGTGGGGGACATTCTCTGACAGGTATGGTGGAGGTTTAGTGTGACAGGTATGGTGGGGGGACATTCTCTGACAGGTATGGTGGAGGTAGAGTGTGACAGGTATGGTGGAAACATTCTGTGACAGGTATGGTGGGGGACATTCTCTGACAGGTATAGTAGAGACACACTGTGACAGGCTTGCACGGTATGGGACATTTTGCAGCAGGCATGATTTTGGCAGGCATATACGGTACAGAAAATTCACGACATAAGAGAGGACATATGACCGCTTTCTGGTGCGTGTGTTTCTCCTATTGAAAACTATCTAAAATTGTCTTCCCTCTTCCTTAGCGCCACGACGTGCAACAGATCGCGATACACAGCGTCTCCTACAACTACGGCGGCAACGAGGGCACCTTCTTCGTCTGCGGCCACGAGCGGAACGTCCACTTTCCCGACTACCCGTCTCAGTGCTGCGGCTGCTGCGCAGTCATGTGATGACGTCACGATGTGGGGATGACGTCATGTGATGTTGAGATGAGGTTATGTGATATGGGAATAGCGTCGTGACGGTATTCTCATTGCGTCATTGACACTACGGTAAATGAAGGTTTGTGACCACAGGCCAGACGGCAGAGCTTTTTGTACATTTTGAGCGCTTTGTTTGCTTATCAGCTGTATTCCACGCATTCGTGTACTGTGATGTACACGTGGTGTTAACTTTTTATTTTTTTGCAGCTTGGATAGTCTCCTTTTATAGGCGATTGTGCACACATATACGGTGTAGTGATCATGCAGGGTTCATATTCCAGCAGCTGCGTTCAGTGCCTTGAATGACTCGGGGAAGCTTCAAGGTAAACAATTAGCAGGACCAGTTTTCGTAAAAACAAACTTTTCTTTCCTCGAAGCGTGTTTTTCTGTACTGCTATCCAGTATAAGCAGACAATCTCAGTCTTATCGACCATCCCCACACGCTTGATATGCATCTTTTCCACATGTCACTGATGACATAAAATTCGCATCAGCATTTCAAATCAAGCAAAAAAGGAGGATGAAACGCATGGATGATATTTTATAAGCACATTTAATTGACCAAGTATCTTATGAATTTTTCAATCGGCAGTTTCATGGTATAGCCCATTGCGATTAACACTTGTATTGATTTATGACGACACACATAGGTACTTACCAAAAATTTGGCGCAAGACACCAATTTATAAAATCCTGAGAAAAATTTGATATCAAAACATGTGATGTCGAAATAGCATCACCAATATGGACTAAAAGTACGTTACTCGAGCGATAAAAGCTAAAAAATCATGCATGGCTCGAGATTATACAAGCAGATCTACTATTGTATCGACACCTTTTTTTTTTTAAACCCCACATCTGCTCTCCCGTGAATTTCCGGGAGGCACGAAAGATCTCCTTTTAAAAGTGTCCAATCGTCCGATCCTGATCAAATATGTGTGTTCGTAGGCCTGTTCTGGTATTGCTTTATCTGCCAAGACAGACAAACTTGAGAAAAATCGAGTGATTGTACCTTTTTTTAAGGTCTCTAAACCAACTTGTCTGAAATTCACCGGAGAACAAATGTGGGGTTGAAAAAAAGGTGTCGATATGAGGCTTGACATGCTCCTAAATTTGATAGCACGTCGGACTTGAGCCGAAAACGGCGTCCGGATGTAAAATATTACGTACATCACTACACACTCGGCAGATCACAGGAGATTTTACGATCCACGGCAGATAGGCATAATCGTCATTTAGTGAAAATATTACGCAGAAGCCCTGTAGTCCCTGCAAAACCTGATAAGATGTTACATGTTACGTTCCAGATAACATGAAAAATATTGTGCAACCATTATCAATAAACATGCACAGATAAAATAACATGATTGATTGCGTATTAAGCTCGCATCGGTCCCAACCACGGCCCCAGTAAGCGTATTAACATATGGATACCGTAAAATGCTTCATCATTTAATATTACGCTCCATGACATCGTTATGTCGTTCACGAACTACACGTATATCGTTATCAGATTCGTTGACCCAGCCCGTCGTTCCTCCCCGCTTCACTGACCTACGCCGCGTCCTCCTGTTCCTCCCCCGCCTCCCGCAGCGCCTGTCTCAGGTCCTCCACCACGTCCAGCACGTCCTGTTCGCTGGTAGCCCGGCCCAGACTGAGCCGCACCGTTCTCCGGGCGTCCTTTGGAGAGACGCCACTCCGGAGCAGCACCCCGCTGAGACCGCCGACACCCCGCGCCCCGTCCGGCGCCCCGCAGAGGCCGGGCGCCGCCGAGACGCCCTCATCTCCCACATCACCTGATGTCTCCGGTGTTTCCGTACGTGGTTCTCTCGCCCCAGTCACCACTGTAGTAGCTGTATCACGGTCTCCGGCCGGCGCCGCGGGCGTCTCGTGGCAGGCGGAACCCACGCTGGCCAGCAGGCGCCGGCACCGGAGCAGAACCTCCCTGCCAGAGCGGCGGCTCGAGAGGACCGCGCTGCACGTGTTGGGCAGTCGGGGCGAGTCGCGCAGGTTGATACTCTCGGCCACGCCAGTCTCCTGTTGCGGGGAGCGTAGAGTTAGATCAAGTCTCACGGTTGTTGGGAGTGAGAGGGACACGTCGAACAAACGCATGACAATCGAGAGACAGTCGCGAGTAAGATAGCCTGCTGATCTCGACATTCAGTTCAGCAATACTCTGCCCTGCTGTGCGATACTACATAGCAAGGGCACCCGATTCATTATAGTTGTTTGGACGACACTGTTCAGTTAAATAACAAAACGTCATTATTCAAGGCCCTAACACAGCTCTCATTCTACATTATAAATCGCGCGATAACGTTTGTTCGAAGGCGCTCCAAACGCACCGTTACGCTTTACTTCCAGCCCCCGACTGACCAGAAGCCGCCGCTCCAGCAGATCTCTGAGTCGCTCCATGTGCTGTCGGTCCCTCTCCAGACCCTGCTGCACCAGCCGACAGGCGGTGCCCAGTCCGCGCACCAGCGGGGTGATCTCCGTTCCCGGCCGCACACCGCCCTCCTGACCGCCGCCGCGCAGCAGCGTGATACACGCACTACCGTCCGCGCCGCGCGTCAGACCCAGGGCAGAGGCCCACAGCGCGGCGATACGCGGTCCGTACAGCTGCCGGAGGGCGGCGGCGAGTCAGACTTCGGGGCGGAGGGCTAGCAGAGAATGGAAGCGGTTGAGTAAAGCACCCCAACAAAACATTCGTTATTAACCTTGGCAAACCAGATAAGCAAGCCGCAAAGTGCAAACTGATGCGCATAAAAACAGCATCAGTAACATTTGTTTCGTCAAACATTAATCATTTACGCCGTTTCTCTATCATTGCTAAACATCTGTCCTGCTTGACAACACGAACAAGAACCACGCACGCGGGTAGCTACTGTCACTGCAGCCTCCCCTACCTTATGGCCGACGACAGTGAGGAAATCGACACCGAGCCGACAGACGTCCACGGGCAGTTTGCCGACCGTCTGAGCCGAGTCCGTGTGGAGCCAGATGTGCTGGCGGTGCGGGGACTCGGACAGAGCGCTGGAGAGAATCGGAATAATAACAATAAAGAGTTAGGGTGGCGGCTCTGAGGGACAGCGATGCTGACAAGGAAAGCATAGCTTGAAGGGCAGCAGGTAACGATTAAGGAGCAGGTGACGTAGCATTCGATACCAAACTACCATTCACACATTCGCATACCATTAGAACCAATGTCAGATTATTAAAGATCCTCGATCTTCCGAGACCTAAGAGACCACCTAGCTCACCGTCCGATCGCCTCGATGTCGTTGACCACCCCAGTCTCATTGTTGGCGTGCATCACCGAGACGAGGCAGGTATCGGGGGAGAGAGCCGCGCGCAGTTCCGACACGCTCACCCGGCCCCCCGCGCGGCACGGCAGCCGGGTCACTGCAGAGACGAGAGGGGGTGATAAATCGGACACAATGCCGCACAAACAGCATACTCACCCGGCCCCCCGCGCGGCACGGCAGCCGGGTCACTGCAGAGACGAAAGGGGGGGGGGGTGATGTATAGAACATGACGTATCACAAGCAGCACCAATAACCTATTCACAAAGCAAATACACAACGGGGTTCGGTACACAACGGACAAAAAACGCACATCCATTCAGAAATCAGTGCTCAACACAAGCCCTGTGCACCGTAGCATATAGAGTAGCATGCATTGTTGGCAACATAGCTGCGACCGGAATATAAGACCGGATAGTCGACACGAACAAGTATTTGTTGACCGTTACGTGAAAAGTTCGATACAGGAGAAACAGATTAGCCAAAAAAAAAAAATCGACACATCTATCTAAGTAGCTACAGGAAAAAGTTGGCTATACTTGTGGAGACCCGCTATTAGCGAGGTCTAAGACCCATGATTCCCGGCTGCAGTATAGCACACACCAGAGCAGACTGATCATGCTAACCCACCAGAGCAGAGTCGCCGCCGCTGCAGGTCGGCGACCGGCGCCTCGACGGCGTCGTGCTCCGTGTCAGAGATGATGAGGTGCGGTGTGCCCCGGCGGCCGGTCGCCCGGTAAAACTCGAGAGAACCGCGGACCACCATATTGTTCGCCTGGAAACGGTACGAGGCAGGATGCAAATGCAGCTTTAACGAAAGAAAATTAACGGTGAAGACTGAAGAGCACTTAAGACAAGTCTAGACTGAATATAAGTGCAAAGGGATGTAACATTCCAACTTATTTGTGCCTTCCCTGGTTTATATGAAAGTAAATGTCAAATTGGACCTACACGTACACCACCCTATCATTCTTCCACTCAAGCCACACTGCACTTGACGTGCAGGAGTTGCTTTCAAAAAGCAGTCAAACTGGGGGAACCCCGACCCACCTCAGTGCCCCCGGAGGTGAAGATAACGTGCTCTGGCTGGGCGCCAATGGCCGCAGCCACGTGACTGCGTGCTTCCTCCAGCACGCGGCGCGCGCTCCGGCCTGGTGGGTGGGTCGAGCTCGGGTTGGCCCAGTGCCGGTGCAGCGAGTCGGCGATGTCAGCCTTCACCTCGGCCGCCAACGGAGTGGTGGCATTGTAGTCCATGTAGAGCGTAGGGTCTGGGTTGGTGTCACTCACCATGGTGTGTGGTGGTATGAGATCTGAGGAGTAGGTGGCTTGAGCAAGAATACTAAGAGAAAATGATAGGAAAAATCCTAAAAACAAAAATCTTCCATCTGTAACGTTGATGAAAATAAATTCCTGCCCGGGGCCGGGATGATTCAATAAATGTCACCGAGGTTTTTTAGCGAAAACTCCGAGGGCCGTTAGGCCCGAGGTGCTTTTCGCTAAAAAAGCGAGGTGACATTTATTGAATTCCCGGCCTTAGGGCTGGAAGGTGTTTCCCATACCTGCCAAAAAGCTCACAACTATAATTGATAGTGACGTCAGCAGCCGTGTGGTTCAGTTCAACGCGTTTAACCACACCCCTTGAACCACACGGCTGGCAATATTAAAGCACTGCATTAAACTTTGAAAAGTGTGGTCTGTGCACGTGACATTGAAATGCCTGGATGTCTCGATTTAATCATGCAATGTAGCAGGTATGGGAAACTTGAAAATTGAAGGTATCATGGGTTTTTAATTATGCTCACTGGTCCAATAGCAGTAGGCGGAACTATGGCCAAGCCTGCCATTTTTGGGAATGCATTTTCGTTCCTATAGTTGGGAATGAAAAACCTAAATATGGGAATGCTACGTAGGCATTATTTAAAACAAGAAGAAGAACCATTAAATGACGTCCAAAAAATATAGAGCGATTGTAAACCGCCTGATATCCTACACTTAATTTGACACTTAATAATGTAACGGAAGTTAGCCCACATTCAGCCCACATTCGGCCCAGCCGCATATTTACGTCTGGACAACGAGTTGCGGGGAAAAGTGCTGATTGTATTGCAGTTTTAGGAGTCGGTGATTAGGCTGGATTTTTGGGTTACTTTTTCGTTCCGATTCATGTATTTCATAGTGTTTGGCTTTTGAATATTTTAGTTCTTTCAGATAAATATTACTTGCCTTACAACTTTTGTAAAAACGTTTCATTTTTTATAAGCCGACGTTCAGAGTCCTAAAAATACATCAGCACTACAATCATTGTAAACAAACAAATGGAGCACCACTTGGCTCTGTTCCAAGGCCATTTTTTAGTTTATCTGTTGGTTTTCTTGCTCTTGTACGTCGTTTTGTTGGACGTTTTGAATCCCTGAAGATTGACTTATATCATATTTAAGAAGCATGTTGACTGAAAACAAATCAAAATTGTGTTTCTTTAATGTAAAAAACTGAAGTTTTACCGAAAACAATCTTAAGTATCCAGGAGGCTGACAGAGCTCCTGACTCCTGAGCAATATCAATATCAAGTTGAACAAGTTATGAAATTTTGGTTGATAAACGCAAGTTGATCGGGCTCATATATCAGCAGGAAAAAGTAAAATTAAAAGAGCTTATTGTCCAAAAACAAGCTATAGTATTGCAGACCTTGGAGCAATACTGAAGAGCACGCTGAGCAGGATCATGCCAGAAAATGTTGACTGATGAGCGCATATTGATGTATTGGTATGAATATTGAATGATAACTTACAACAGCAAGATAAATTAGTGCTAACTATCAAGTTTAAATCTAGAATGAATGGACTTGGGCAGTTTTACTATGCTTAGATGCTATGCAGATTGTAATGTGCCAGTGCATCAGTATACTCAGTGTCTGGCAAATGAAACATGCGATCATTCCATTGCTACTGGAGGAGAAAGCTTGGATCACTAAATCCACTTTATGTTGATTTTGATGTTAATCATCATCACTGTATTTCTTGAAAAAAGGATTGTAGTAAAGGATTGTCAAAGAAGGATTGTCAATGTGACAATCCATGCAACGAGGTGATCATATTATGTGTTCATAGTCATTCGTGATAGTCATTATTGGTCCAATATACAATGGCAAAGCTCTCAGTCTCAGCGTTTCTTCCTGTGGATGGCTAGCAGTGACTCAGAGCTTAGAAGTATTAGTTTTCTTTACAGGGCTGGGATAAAAAGTACTGAGGGTAATCTTCCACCAAGGAACTCTACTTTGACGTGGTATGAGATGTAGGCACAAGTAGGTAGGTGCTCAGTTCCTATAGTCAGTATAGTTGTGTATGTTTAGTTGGGTTAGCTGAGATTAGATTGCTAGTTTTTAATTTGCCAAATGTCCATAAAAATGTGACCTGAGCAATGAGCATACCTGAACCTGACTAACCTGACAGCTGACCTAACCTCAATCATCACACATATTAGCAGCCTACCCAAGACCTGCATGGCAGTAGCACCCAGTTATAGGTAGGTACTCACCCTAACTCAATCTTACCTGCTAACCTTCAACTTGCCAAAAGTTAGACTTATAGCTCACATTGCCAAGCTGCATCCAGAGAAACAGTCAACTGAGGAACTGGCTCATTGGGTGGCTGGTGTGAGTCTGTGCATTTAAAGTGTTTCTTCTCTGAAGCTGCTCTGCACTGCTGTATGTCATGTTAGATGCTCAAAAAATGTGGGAAATGATTACTAAGCTACTTTAGTGCTTTGTTAATGCTCGAGACATGAACAAGTACAGATCCTGCAGGGTTCAGCTATGAGTTAGGTACTGAGTATGTTATGTGAATGTGCTGTTCCCTGTTTGACCGTAAGTATACAAACAAGCACAGGGTCACAGTTATATTCAATCTCCACATAAACATACAACAAAAACAGCCATATAGCCTAACTCCGAACACACCACAGATAACTTAAGCCTTTGTAGGCACAAAAATGTTTTGATTAACAGGACAGGTTTACAATATATCCTCTGTCCTTGGGGGATCTTGCTGCCAAGTTGAGGTATGATGACTGAACTTCAGGATTGATCAACCTTTTCTTAGCCACTGCTTATATACGAGAAAGACCAAATGCTTGTTTGTTTTGATTTACAGGACATGTATACAATATATCCTCTGTCCTTGGGGAATCTTGCTGCCAAGTTGAGGTACGATGACTGAACTTCAGGATTGATCAACCTTTTCTTAGCCACTGCTTATAAACGAGAAAGACCAAATTGAAATGCTTGTTTGTAAACTGCGTTGAAAATTTAATGATCCACCTTCAATTCTGACATGAAGGCACAAATGAAATGGTTCCCTCTCCTTTTGGAATACACAAAGCAAAATATTTAATAAATTTTAGTGGATGGACAAGAGCAATTAGCATATCTTTCCATCAAGTTAACTTCTGGCACTGTTGATGAATTACACTGACGCTTATTCGCTTCATATTTTGTAACAAACGCGCTAAAACTGCAACATAACAGCACTATATGCTTCTTGACAAAATGCAATAGTATTAAAAATTTAGCCCTGATTGCATTCATTCTTGGTGACAACGTAATTACAAAATATTTTGTATCAACTATTAAATTCCGGCCGAAAACAGTGCACGGTTTAAAAAAGAATCATTCCAATGACGGTCCATTCTTGCGGTCCTGAAATCGCCACTATTTCCGGCCTCTCCAACGCAACTCGTTGTCCAGACGTAAATATGCGGCCCAGCCCAGATTGGGGCTGCCAAATCTAGGGAAAAATCTAGAAATCTAGGGAAAAATCTAGAAATCTAGGGAAAAATCTAGAAATCTAGGGAAAAATCTAGAAATCTAGAAATCTAGAAATGCGTGGGTAAAACTTTCCAAGGGCGTTTTTACCCCATAGATTTCAATGCCCATAGGGGTTTCTTCAGCCAGATTGATCATCTCGGCCTGTAGTATCACCATGCCGATTTTGAAGAAAATCGTAGGGGCCGCCCCATTGACCGAAAATTTTCATCTTGGGTAAACTTTACCCTGGATGGGGTAGTGGGTAAATTTTACCTCACCATTTTGTTTGGGTTTTCATGGGCTTTCATATGCTACCCATATTGGGGGGATGCGTGCGATACACTTGCCAGAAATGCGTGGGTAAAACTTTCCCAGGGCGTTTTTACCCCATATATTTCAATGCCCATAGGGGTTTCTTCAGCCAGATTGATCATCTCGGCCTGTAGTATCACCATGCCGATTTTGAAGAAAATCGTAGGGGCCGCCCCATTGACCGAAAATTTTCATCTTGGGTAAACTTTACCCTGGATGGGGTAATGGGTAAATTTTACCCCACCATTTTGTTTGGGTTTTCATGGGCTTTCATATGATAGCCATATTGGGGGGATGCGTGCGATACACTTGCCAGAAATGCGTGGGTAAAACTTTCCAAGGGCGTTTTTACCCCATAGATTTCAATGCCCATAGGGGTTTCTTCAGCCAGATTGATCATCTTGGCCTGTAGTATCACCATGCCGATTTTGAAGAAAATCGTAGGGGCCGCCCTATTGACCGAAAATATGCATCTTGGGTAAACTTTACCCTGGATGGGGTAGTGGGTAAATTTTACCCCACCATTTTGTTTGGGTTTTCATGGGCTTTCATATGCTACCCATATTGGGGGGATTCGTGCGATACACTTGCCAGAAATGCGTGGGTAAAACTTTCCCAGGGCGTTTTTACCCCATATATTTCAATGCCCATAGGGGTTTCTTCAGCCAGATTGATCATCTCGGCCTGTAGTATCACCATGCCGATTTTGAAGAAAATCGTAGGGGCCGCCCCATTGACCGAAAATTTTCATCTTGGGTAAACTTTACCCTGGATGGGGTAATGGGTAAATTTTACCCCACCATTTTGTTTGGGTTTTCATGGGCTTTCATATGATACCCATATTGGGGGGATGCGTGCGATACACTTGCCAGAAATGCGTGGGTAAAACTTTCCAAGGGCGTTTTTACCCCATAGATTTCAATGCCCATAGGGGTTTCTTCAGCCAGATTGATCATCTCGGCCTGTAGTATCACCATGCCGATTTTGAAGAAAATCGTAGGGGCCACCCCATTGACCGAAAATTTTCATCCTGGTTAAATCATGCTTTTGGTTAAATTGATCCGGTATTTAACCATATCATTAGGTCCGGGGTGAAGAGATCTTTCAAATGGTGGTCTTATTTTTCAGTTTCGTCCAGCCGTTTAGGCGTAAAACGGTTTTTAGATATTTCCCTAGATTTCTAGATTTTTCCCTAGATTTGGCAGCCCCAATCTGGGCTGGGCCGAATGTGGGCTGAATGTGGGCTAACTTCCGTTACATCACTTAATACCCAAATTGTGTGAGAAAACCTCTTTTCTTAGAAAACCCAGCTTGAATTTCAAAAATCAAGTGAACGAAACCAAGCTTTAAAAGATAAATGCATGTAATTTTGAATGACAAATAATTAGGCTTCATGCTCAGAGATTTCGGGCAGAAACAAGACAACTATGCACTGCTACACTTCACCGTGCAATACGAAACCTCGCACGCAACACGCGCGCCCTAAACCAAAACAACAACAACGCATGCAACATTGCAACACGCATTACCACGACAAGATTACTCCTGTTTAGTATTATATCACTAGTGGCATGTTCCTTTCGAAGCCTATGTAACGGAAGTTGGCACAGATTCAGCACAGATTCAGCACAGCACAGATTCGGTAGGGGGAAAAAAGGCCCCGGTAGAGGGAAACCTTTATGACCCGTTTTCCCCTAGAAATGACGTCACAAAGAGGTAAAAATGGGTATCAATCGAAAGCTCTCGTTTACCCAGACACAGTCCTGCAGGAAAATTCCACTTTTTCCCCATAGGAAAGTTTTTACGGGAAAATCAAAATTTTGGGTCAATGGGGGGTCCCCCCCGATTTCGTTCAAAATCGGCACACAGGTGCCCCACCACCAGCCGAGAAACTTTCCCCAAAACGGTCCCCGTTGCATTGA